TTCCAGAGGGCTTCGAGGAGAAAAGGATAAGAAATCAGTCAGGTGCCAAAATCTATTGCGGCATTTTTTTATGAACTGGTGTGATGAATACATTGGCTGCCTTCAAACGTTCAGACCGTCACACATGCAGCGACTGACAACATCCTCATCCATCTCACACCTTCATAACGTGCTTCTGACCAGGGTAAAAAATTCTCGTTTCCTCGTAATAGACCAGACCGAGTGTAAAACAGTACGTGTACACGTTACCATGCAGAGTGGTAATCGCTGCACACCGGAACAGACGAAAGCTGATTTGCAGTTCAGCCGAAACAGGTGTATAGAAGTTTCACCATTTATTAATTTATTACTTATTATTACTAACGGTACACCTATGCGAAAAGAGCCGGCGTATCGGCTGCACATTCAAGTTCATGTCAATGATTTTGATGTTGGCTGAGACTTATGGAGTAATGCGATAGAAACAACAGGTTATTCCGTTTGAACGAAAAGCAAATTCGTTTCAGTCCGTACCGTCGTATGGACGGTAACAGACACATCATGGTAAATTTATAAGACATCTTCAGAAGAGTCGAATTCTCAGCACCTCACCATCGCATGGCATGTAAATACTGAGCGAATTCACAGACTATTCCCATAGCTGTTTTCCTCATATTTGTAGTCACTTTCCTACCTGATTATTAAAACTAAAACGAATCACTAATCAAATTTCTTGCACGGCAGAAAAACGACAACAGTAACAGCGAAGGAGGACTATGTTTATACTGATCATAACAATCTCCACCGCTGTCGGTCCAAAGTCCGAATTAGAAGGAAGTAGAGTTGGAGACCGGGGAGGCCTTCCTTAGAATCTGGTCACTCCCAATCTCCCCCCGTTCCTCCTCTACAGTGGCTACCAAAAGCAGCTCAAGCTGTTGGAAAACTGAGACAGGCTGTGAAAGTCAGCGATCGAAGCCCCTTTCGCGTTTACTCGCGGCTGGGAATGAAGCAGCATCACGACGTCTACCAAAGATCTACAAAAAATCAGGATGTCGCT